CCCCAGTGAGATGGGGGTTTCCTTAGTCTTGTGTACCCAGAGCTTTGAGAGGACTCCTTGCAATGTCTCTTCTCAGGCCCTGATCCCACACGCTCTCCTTTCCTTCTGCCTCAGGCCTTGCTTTTCTGGATCAGTTTCCTGTTTCCACACCTGGTTTCCGTGTTCCTTCCTTCCCTGAATTCTTGCAGCTGCTTCGTTCCTTATCCTTGTTTTTTTTTGTTTGTTTCGCCAATTTTTTTAGAGAAAAGGTCTCACTCTGTCACCCAGGTTGGAGTGCAGTGGTGCAATCATAGCTCACTGCAGCTTCCAACTTCTGGGCTCAAGGGATCCTCCTGCTTTAACTTCCTGAGAATCTCAGACTACAGGCCCTGGCCACCACACCTGGATCTTATTCTTGTTAGTCTCTGGTTATGCTGTTCCCTCACCCCTCAGGAATTTGGAGTTCTTTCTCAGCTCCTGGGGATAACCAGAGCTTTTGACCCTTATTTCAATTTTTTCACTTTCCTTAGCATGAAAAAAGACACACAGCTCTTATTTTCTGAAAGTATTATATCCTTATTATATGAATATGAAAGTATTCATATAATAAATTATGAAAGTATTATGTCCTTATTATAATAAATTTGGGGAAACAAAAGCTATCCTTTATTGTACACTTCCTTCATTTGTTCGATTTAGTCCTCAGTCAACCCTAAGGATAGAGATAATTATCCCTATTTTAGAGATGAGAAAATTGGGACTCAGAGAGATTAAGTACCTTGCTCAGGGTCATAAAGCTAGTAGATTGAACCAAATGACATGCTAATATTTGACTGCTTTTTCACCTACAAAAGGAGCCATTTCATATGGATCAACCTAATAATGGCAGGTTTGGAATTGCAACTCAGGTGTGTCTGGCTCTGAAACTCATGTAGGCGCCTTGCTCTATGGAGCTACTCAAAGACAGCCAGGCTTTTTATTTTTATTTATTTATTTATTTGTTTAATTTAATTTAATTTAATTTAATTTATTAATTTATTTCTTTTGAGACAGAATCTTGCTCTGTTGCCCAGGCTGGAATGCAGTGGCGGTCTCAGGTCACTGCAACTTCTGCCTCCCAGGTTTAAGTGATTCTCCGGCCTCAGCCTCTCAAATAGCTGGGATTACAGGCCCCCGCCACCATGTCCAGCTAATTTTTGTATTTTTAGTAGAGACGGGGTTTCACCATGTTGACCAGGGTGGTCTTGAACTCCTGACCTCAGGTGGTTTGCCTGCCTCGGACTCCCAAAGTGCTGGGATTACAGGTGTGAGCCCCCGCATCCAGCCGAACATCACTGATTTTTAAAATTTATTTAATTAGGATTAGGTAATGTATAAACAGTGAATATTCAAAGAATACAAAGGATTGTATAATGAAGTGAGTCTGTTATCTCTTGGTATCCAGTCTCCCTCCTCAGTTTCTTCTGTTTCTTTCCAGAGACACTCTATTTAGAGACAAGCATCTATTTTTATTTTTATTTTGAGACAGTGTCTCACTCTGTCACCCAGGGTGGTGTGCAGTGGTGTGATTGTAGTTTATTGCACTGCAGCCTCGAACTCCTGGGCCCGAGTGATCCTCCCACCTCGAAGCTCCTGGGTAGCTGGAACCACAGGTGCATGCCACCATGCCTGGCTACTTTTTTTTTTTTTAATTTGTAGAGACCAGGGTCTCCCGATGCTGCCCAGGCTGGTCTCCAACTCCTGGGCTCAAGTGATCCTCCTGCCTCCACCTCCCAAAGTGTTGGAATTACCGTTGTGAACCATTGTGCCTAGTCTATCACCTATCACCATTTTAAATGAACACACAATAACCCAATGTGTGGGTATAGTATAATTTATTTTACAAATCTCTTGTAAATCAAGGAGCTTATTGGAGTTTTTTTTTTTTTTTTTTTTTTGAGACAGAGTCTCACTCTGTTGCCCAGGTTGGAGTGCAGTGGCGTGATCTCGGCTCACTGCAACCCCTGCCTCCTGGGCTCAAGCGATCCGCCCACCTCAGCTCCCCAGTAGCTGAGACTACACACAGGTGCCACCACACCTGGCTAAGTTTTGTATTTTTAGTAGAGACAGGGTTTTTACCATGTTGGCCAGGCTGGTTTCAAACTCCTGACCTCAAGTGATCCACCCACCTCAGCCTCTCAAAGTACTGGGATTACAGGCATGAGCCAGCATGCTTGGCCGACATATTAATACCTCTGCAAAGAAGATTCTTGTACCCAGATTTTGCTGCAGATACCTGATTATTCCTTAACATAAATTCCAAGAAGAAGCATTGTACGGTAAAAGAATGTAGATTTTCTGAATCTTTTATGCCAGATCATTCACCACAAATGCTGCCCACCAGGAGTGTGCGAGAGGACCTCTTTTCTCTATATACTCTCCTATACTAGGTGTTATCAATCTTATTTTGATCTTTGCTAATTTGACAGTTTATATATATATGTATGTAGAGATGGGGTTTCACCATGTTGGCCAGGATGGTCTTGATCTCCTGACCTTGTGATCTGCCCACCTTGCTCTCCCAAAGTGCTGGCATTACAGGTGTGAGCCACCGTGCCCAGCCAAGTGTGTGTGTGTGTGTGTGTGTGTGTGTATATATATATATATTGTGTGTGTGATGGAATCTCTCTCTGTCCTCCAGGCTGGGGTGCAGTGGTACGATCTCAGCTCACTGCAAACTTGGCCTCCCGGGATCAAGCAATTCTCCTGTCTCAGCCTCCCAGTAGCTGGGATTACAGGCACGTGCCACCATGCCCCACTCATTTTTGTATTTTTAGTAGAGATGGGGTTTCACCATGTTGGCCAGGCTGGTCTCGAACACCTGATCTCAAGTGACCCGCCCACCTCAGCCTCCCAAAGGGCTAGGATTACAGGCATGAGCTTCCATACCCGGCTCCAGTTGTATATTTTCAAAGAGACAGGGCCTCCCTATGTTGTCCAGGCTGGTCTCAAACCCTTAGGCTCAAGAGATCCTCCCACCTCAGCTTCCCAAAGTGCTGGGATTACGGGTGTGAGCCACCATGCTCGGCCTCGATGGTTTTTCACAAATCACATTTAATTAGCAATTCTTTGTGTTGAGCTTCA